GGCCCTAGTTGCAATTATTTTACTAGTTGACTTAGCCATTATAAAACAATTATTTCTATTGTGCATGGATCATTTTAATAACGCCGCTCTCTCTGCGATGAAAAGGACAGAGCGAGTTTGAGATTTAGAGATAATTGAGGGATTAATAAACATGTCCTTCCACAGATAAATATACTGTTTAATACAAGTACCTGACCGATACGCAGTGTTGGGAAGGTGACTTTTAAAATGTATTCCCCTACAGATTACAGATTACATACACCAAAATGTAGTTTGTAACATAATCCAGTAAATTATTTAAGGTGAGTAACGTAATCTGAATACTTTGGATTACTTGATTTGCTGTTGAGAAGCAAAGACGAGGAAATCGTAACATAAGAAGTTTTGTCTGATAAAAGAAAATAAAAAAGCCCAGACTTTACTGAACCAAATTAAAAATATTATTGACAGAAGACGGGGAGACACGTCCATGCAGCATGGTTTAGTCCTGTTAAGTCCTGTTTTAGTCCTGTTTTTAGACCTGTTGTAGACCTGTTTTAGATCTAGTTTAGACCTGGTTTTAGTCCTGGTTTAGTCCTAGTTTAGACCTGGTTTAGATCTAAATTAGTCCTGGTTTAGATCTAGTTTAGACCTGGTTTTAGTCCTGGTTTAGTCCTGGTTTAGTCCTGGTTTAGACCTGGTTTAGACCTGGTTTAGACCTGGTTTAGATCTAGTTTAGACCTGGTTTAGATCTAGTTTAGACCTGGTTTAGATCTAGTTTAGACCTGGTTTTAGTCCTGGTTTAGTCCTAGTTTAGACATGGTTTAGACCTGGTTTAGACCTGGTTTAGATCTAGTTTAGACCTGGTTTAGATCTAGTTTAGACCTGGTTTAGATCTAGTTTAGACCTGGTTTTAGTCCTGGTTTAGTCCTGGTTTAGTCCTGGTTTAGACCTGGTTTAGATCTAGTTTAGACCTGGTTTAGATCTAGTTTAGACCTGGTTTAGATCTAGTTTAGACCTGGTTTTAGTCCTGGTTTAGTCCTAGTTTAGACATGGTTTAGATCTAAGTTAGACCTGGTTTTAGACCTGGTTTAGATCTAGATTAGACCTGGTTTTAGTCCTGGTTTAGTCCTAGTTTAGACCTGGTTTAGATCTAAATTAGTCCTGGTTTAGATCTAGTTTAGACCTGGTTTTAGTCCTGGTTTAGTCCTGGTTTAGTCCTGGTTTAGTCCTGGTTTAGTCCTGGTTTACCTGGTTTAGACCTGGTTTAGACCTGTTTAGACCTGGTTTAGACCTGGTTTAGACCTGGTTTTAGTCCTGGTTTTAGTCCTGGTTTAGACCTGGTTTAGACCTGGTTTAGACCTGGTTTAGACCTGGTTTAGACCTGGTTTAGTCCTGGTTTAGACCTGGTTTAGATCTAGTTTAGACCTGGTTTAGATCTAGTTTAGACCTGGTTTAGATCTAGTTTAGTTTCCAGCAATGAGTGGAATTACTGAAAAAAATAAAATAAAGTGGAGGATACGGCCCAAAATGTGAAAACAGGAAAATATCTCCATGTAATCCATTTATTTCAACAAAGTAACTGTAATCCAATTACCACTCACTGAAACAGTAACTGTAACTGAATACAGTTACTCATAATTTGTACTCTGATTACTTAACTCTGGTACATGTAATCTGTTACTCCCCAACACTGCCGATACAGATTTATTTTGGATCTGACATGATACTGATAATAGTGGCTTTGGAGGTGCTGATATTTGATATGTTTAGTGTTGTAAAAATTCAGTGTAAATCTTCAATTAATTCCAGCACTTAGATTTATGGATCATTTTAATTTCATTTATGGATCATTTTAATAACGCCGCTCTCTCTGCTATGAATAGGACAGAGTGAGTTTGAGATTTCGAGATAATTGAGGGATTAATAATAAACATGTCCTTGCACAGATAAATACACAGATCAACACAAGTACAGTAGGCACAAGGGCCCGACTGATATGGATTTTTTTGGATCTGATATGATACTGATAAAAGGGGCTTTGGAGGAGCCAAGATCTGATAAGTTTTAGAATTAGTTGAAGATTTACAGTGATTTTTTTTATTTATTTTTTATTTCATTCATAAAGCATAAAAAGACATCGAAAGTGTCACAACATTAAACACACAAGAAATGAATGAATATGAGCAGAAAGAAGAAAAAATCGTATGTTATCTGCCCCCCTTTCCTTTTTCAAGACAAAACATCAACCTAAACATTCCATATCAGTTCAGGCACAATTACTGATCAATTGCAAACAGTAAATCTTCATTATTATACACAACTTAGTTTTCTTTTTCATACATACACACTGCATTTGATTTTATATGTTTTTTTTAAATGTCATCATTGTACTTGATTCTTTTATTTCATTGTCAAAACTCTTCCATAAATTAACTCTTTTCACAGCGACGCTTCGCTCCATAACCTTGGTTCTGAATCTGGCTTTTTTAAACATGTAGGTTCCTTTTAAATCGTCGCGGCTTGTTCTCATCTCAAATTGCACTTTGCTTTATACATGATTTTGAGAAGACTTATGTCAACAATATCCTGCATTTTCAACACTTTATGTTGAGCAAATATTGGGTTGGACGTCTCTCTGCAATGACTGTTGGTGATAATTCTCAAGGCCCTTTTTTGTAAAATAAATAAAAGGTTGTAGGTAAGTTTTACATGTTGAACCCCAAATTTCCACACAGTACATCAGATATGGTACAATTACAGAGTTATACAAAGTAAATAATGCTGTGCTATTTAGTGAGAACTTTACTTTATGCAGAACAGCAATGGCTTTGGAAATTTTGCCTTTTGTGTAATTTATATGAGAATTTTTACATCACAAAACTTAAGATTTTACTCTATTGGGTTTTAAATCTGGTTTCTTTAGGCTTCAATTTGTTATTTTACCTGTTCACAGTCATATTTAAAGACAGTAAGTGTAACCCAGTGCGTTTTTGTATGACATTCTAACCAGTAAAGTAAAAAAGAAAACTGCACTCAGCCTTTAGTGGAACATGCATGGCAATTATGGTAATTAGGTGCATACATGCGGACTATTCACACCTCTATTCACAGCTCATTTACATATCAATGCACGACCATTAACATACATACAGCCACTATAGCCACGTTAAACTAGGCCAGTGTCAGAGAAAACAGGCTGTTCATGTGTGGGAGCTACTGCACCAAAAGTTGTCTGTGTCCTCTGTGTAAGGGACAGTCCCGTCTTCTCTGCACTCGCACTTTGATAAAAACTGAGCAGTCGTTTTGTTGCTGGCCCAAACTGTGCTGAAGTAAACGTTCACATATAGTTAATGCCTTAGATCAGACACAAAAGCGTTTAAAGCAGCGCCTCGGTGTTGCACGCTGATGTAAACAAGCGCACGTGAGTGATGAGACTCAGGAGCAGTACGGCGTTACAAAGACAAATTACTCCGTAGATAAATACAGATGCTAAGTCACATATTAGGACATTTATCTGGCTGTAAATTGATTAAACTGACATAATATAGAACAGGGGTCTCCAACCTTTTTCCTCGGGTGAGCTACCTTTACGAAATGAAAATTCTCGAGCTACTAGTTTTAGCATTCGCAGGCAATAAAGTGTACATAAGATTCATGGCAAGACTTAAATGTGGTACAGTTAGATAAAACATAAAACATTATTTATGAGTGCACAAAGTCAGGCATCAAAGGCTACGTTCAGACTGCAGGGCTTAATGCTCAGTTCAGATTTTTTTGTGAAATCCGATGTTTTTGCGAGGTCGTTCACATTTCCAATTAAATGCGACTTGTATGTGATCCCCTGTGTGAACATTAAACAGCCCAAAAGTGTCCCGCATGTGCACTGGAGACACGACGACGTCATCCACAGCGAGCGTCTCTGTGTTTACATAAGATGTCCAAACATGGACGCGAGCATTGAGCACCTGGAGATTTTAAAGTTCCTCTCGTACCGGAGCCAGAACATGAACAACTTACTTGTTTTAAGGAGGAGATTGAGAAGGAGAAGGACGAGGTTTTTGGCCGTGGTGTTTTGTGGGACAGCGGCAGCGACGTCCATTGAAAGAAACGTGTGGATGTGGAGACGTAGCCAAGAGTGGTGAGTGGTGATGTGCTTCGCTTCAGTGACACAGAGTTCATTAACAATTTTCGCCTACTTCAGCGCAGAATAGTGACGTTTGTGTCTTGTTGATAACGTGTAGGTTGGATGAATGCACTTTGGCCGTTCACACTGAAGTCACATGTCAAAAGATCAGATATGTATCAGTTTCAGGAGCACATATCCAAGTGTTCTGGGTCGCATTTGAAAAAAATCAGATCTGTGTCGTTCAGACTGTCATTAAAAGATCAGATACAGGAACATAGGGGCCAAAAAAAAAAAAAAAAAATCGGATTTGGGTCACTTCAGGCTGCAGTCTGAACGTAGCCAAAATGAATTAATTCATCAAATTTGAGTTATTCAGGACAATACGTTTAGTTCAGAAATCCCTTGGCGAGCTGCTTGAAAGGGAGTGGCGAGCAAATGGAAGCTGACGAGGTACAAGTTGGAGACCCCTGATATAGAGTGTCAAAGCTTTATAATGACATAACATGTTCACGTGGACTATCGGCCAATATTGGCAAGATTTAGGCCGTTATGTCTCCAGGTACCAATATCAGTCAGGCCCTTGTAGGCACTGCTCTGACTGAAGCTCTGTTACTCAAATTAGACTTTAATCTGAGCTTTAATTTAACACAATCTGACTAGAAAAAGCTGATTTAGCTGAAACTACAACAGGTGATCTGATTTGACAGGACCAGAAACGCTCGTATTGATCACAAGCTCCTGAAAGTGCGCTGTTTAAACCCATTTTGTGTTTTTCTACGTTCATTAATGTGTGTATTGTGTCACTATGGTAACTCCTAAACGTTTGACTTTAGAGATACACGTAAAACACCCCCAGAGTGACGTCAGTGTAAAGCATGAGCAGACGACGTACCTTCTTGTAGTCCTTGAGCTCCATCATGTCCGGGTGTCTGTACTGGCTGTTGGACAGAGGCAGCAGAGGGATGGTGTAGACCGGTTTGACCAAAGCTCTCTGCGCCAACGCCTCGGCCATCACCTCCGCGCCCAGGTCCGGCATCGCGTTTCTGAGGAAGAGAAAACGACAATGTGAAAATTTGGCTCATTTAAAGTATAAAAGTGTCGGTGTCCTCCAGAAATATTAACACTTGAAGCACGCAAACTCCAACACCGTGGAAAAAAAAACAACAACTTTAAAATACGCGTCAAAAAGTCCCTGCTCACCACAAGAACCAAAATAATCTCTCTGAACTGTCCACGAAAACCAAAAAAACAGATCTGACTTTAAAAGGGCACTAGGAAACTTCTGGTGGAGGTAAACGCTTGTCTGGAATTTTCCACAGAATGATATTAATCTCACTCACGTTGCATTTATTCAACTGTGAGGTGTTTTCATTGCCAAAACAAAATACCGAATTGTGAAACACTGCAGATAAAGCAACTCCACGGAGAAGATAATACTGAAATAATTATGAAAATTGCTGACTGTTTAAAATAAAAACAAAAGAACAAACATTGAAATATTACGAACGCCTTTCATAATAAACAACAACAATCTAAAAGAATTGAATTTTCTGCCCAATCTGGTGATAAAAGGATGATTATTAAACAAAATCAAATTAAAAATAAAACAAAATGTACCACAAACAGTTATGGTCTACCCTTTGTGGCCAATCTGTAATATTACAAAACAATATTACAGTTTAATATCTCAGCTAAGGGTGTGCAAAAATATCAAAGTATCAATATATATCGTATTGTTTAATGTAAAGATACAGTATCGATATCATGGATTGCATTTTTTAGGAGTATTTTACTAAATTATTTTGTGAATGAGCTACAATTGTGTTGGAAAACATTTTTATGCAGTACATTTTCACTGTTTTGATGACTAAAATTGATGTTTTTCATATTAACTTTGCACCAGAAGTGGTTTGATTAAGACTTTTAGTATAAAAGCCAAAAGTTACTCAAACATATTTGAATTGACTTGAAATATATCATAAAAAATGGTTTAAAAAAAATAAATAAAATTTTTTCCCCCATATTTTTAAATTGTTCTTGAATAAAAAGCGGGTTAACTTCGCAGAGTAAGTTCTCTTGAGAAGCTGCAATTCCAAAAAACAGTACTACAATGACAGAAAACTATAAAATGACAAAACTAAAATAGTGAAGTCAAAATTGTGAACTGAATGACAGTTCATTCATCAAAAATTATTCTAAGGTACAGGTGTGCAAAAGTATTAAAATATCGTATCGTTTAATGTGATGACACAGTATCGATATCATGGGCTGCTGTATTGATATATCGTCAAGAGTATTTTTTTTGGTGTATTTTACTAAATTATTTTGTGACAGCGCTACAGTTTTGTTGCTTGTTCAGAAGAAGAAAACTTGTTTATGCGACACATTTGATATTTTCACTGTTTTGATGATTAAATTAATACCCAGTCCTACTAGTATGCATGTAAACGCACTCACTGAGGGGTACAGTGATCTTCAAGGAGGAGCCAGAGCCCAAACATGGGACTGAGGCTGCAGCTCCAGTGTTTGCGCTAGGGCTGGGTATCATTAAGTAGTTGCCGATACGATACATACCTCGATACATAGGCCACAATACGATACAGTGCACTTTTGATTCGATACATTTCAAATCGATTTCATACGGTTCAGTAAAAAATAAAGGCTAAATCTTGACTGTGACACTAAAAGTCTTTGTTAAACCACTTCTTGTGCAAAGTTCATATGAAACACAAATATTTTATTCATCAAAACAGTGAAAATGTCAAATGTGTCGCATAAACGAGTTTTCTTCCTCTAAACAAGCAACAAAACTGTAGCTCTTACACAAAATAATTGAGTAAAATATACCAAAAAATACTCCTGGTGATGTATCGATACAGCAGTCCACGATATCGATACTGTATCATCACTTTAAACGATACGATATATCGATATTTTGATATTTTTGCAAACCCCTAGTTTGCGCTGTCAGATGCAGCTTCATATCTACGCACAGAAACCTACATTCGGTTTGTCGATTGGAAACGAACGTAATCGACGAAATTCTTAATGATCAAGTATCGATGAGTCGACTAATCATGCCCATCCCTAGTATCGAGATATGTATCGTATCATGGCCTATGTGTCGAGGTTTGTATCGTATCGGCAACTTTAATGATACCCAGCTCTATTCTCGTGAGCCGAATCTCTTCTTGTAGAAATTGTGTCTCGTTCCATCACGGAAAACATCATATCGTGGCCCGTGTATCGAGGTTTGTATCGTATCGGCAACTTCTTAATACCACCCAGCTTTATCTACAATATCAGAGTTTAATATCCCGGCTCTACCCCGCAGCAGCACGAGCCTCTCACTGTATGACTGAGTGGGCACGGAGCGAACGCTAAAATCTACGCCCTGAAAATAGACCGAGGTCCCACTGAAGCGCGCCGCAGACAGGAAGCAGGTCGGGATAACAAGAGGAAATTGAAATGTCACCGCAAATCAAAGCACTTCAAGGAGACAAGTCCAATTTAGAGCGGTGACAGCGGAGAGGGGAGAGGCCCGTTCCCCGAGCCCGTCATGTTCGCGCGGATCAGAACCGCCGCGCTCCGAAGAGGAAGAGAGATAAAAAATAAATTACACTAAAGAATAATGCAAACAGCGGGTGTATTGTGCAGACACCAGACTGACAGAGAAGAGAGAAAGTGATTTACTGCATTGAATAGAGAAAAGTAAGAGTGGAACATATTGACAAAAATAATGTTTTTATGAATCACAAATGAACTAAAATGGAGCCTGTAAATGAGTTTGTTAAAGTTCAAGTATTGTGCAAATGGGAAAGGACCAAGAAGCAACAGTATTACAATTCAGAGTAAAGATTATTGTGAAGAAACATTACGATAAATCACAATTATTGACAGAAATCCTGATTGTCTAATAGATCAACGATGCTTTGGATGTGATCAGCTTTATGAAACAACCAGATAAAAAGGTTAGGTTTACTTTTAGGACTACACATTGACTTGAAATTACTTATTTTTTGGTTTTAATATGTATACAATTATTTCTTTTTAATGCTACACCATGCAACTTTTATCACCTGTATGATTCTACGGAAATAGAAAGTTAAACTCAAACTTGGAGCCAAAGGAACAACATTTTCAAGGAAACAACGAAGAGGTACTCCACCAGCCCAAATAAAAGCCAGGTTTAGGGGTGTGCAAAAATATAAAAATATCGATATATCGTATCGTTTAATGTGATGATACAGTATCGATATCGCGGGCTGCTGTATCGATATAGCATGAGTATTTTTTTTAATATGTTTTACTAAATTATTTTGTTACAGAGCTACAGTTTTGTTGCTTGTTTAGAGGAAGGAAACACGTTTATGCGAAACATTTGACATTTTTACCGTTTTGATGATTAAAATGTTTCATATGGACTTTGCACAAGAAGTGGTTTAACAAAGACTTTTAGTGTCACAGCCATGATTTAGCTGTTATTTTTTATTGAACCTCATCGAATCGATTTGAAATATCGTATTTTCTGGGTTATAAGGCGCGGTCTTAAGACTCCAACCCCATCAAAAAAAACGACAGCGCGACCCACAATCCAGAGCGCCCTATACACGAATCCACTCGGGTGTCCCAGTACGACTTCAGTAAACTACAAAGCCACACCACCTGCAGAACACGCAAACACACACGGAGCCACACTCATCACTCCACGCCGACGAGGAACGAAACAGAGGAACGAACCGAAAAAGCGAGCGCAATGTGCCACTTCTAGACACAACTGAACAACTGAGTTACTGCGAACACGCCGACAATCCAGCGCTCCCAGACAGCACCCTCCCTACACGCCACAACTGAACAAATCCCAGAGTCACCGTGAACTAGGGATGGGCATTCGATTAAATTATCAATTAATCATTAATGTTTTTATATTAAAATGATCATCATTATTATTACTATCTGCACTACTAATCTGCATAAATAAATTCAACTTTACGACATATAAACCGTAACGACTCTTGAGCCACATCAGCCCGTTTGACATTATAATGTGTTTAATTCAGTTTTGCGCAACTCTCACAGAAACAAAACTTAAAACCACATGGCTAATTTGCATAAACTAAGTGAAGATAAAACTACAGCTCTTGTGTCGCTGATGCAGTTCAACTTCTGTCGGATTAAAAGACATGACTCAGGTGAATACAGGTTAGTGTGACCATATTTGCGTTTGTCAAAACCAGGACACCGTACGGGGGGAGGGAGGTGGGGACTCGTCATCGACATTGCGTGACTCTCACCTGGTAAAACTTTTTCCCACTGGACACTGAAACATGTGCTGCTTTGTTCACTGTGCACATGGACTCACACTTGTCCCGAACAGAATGGAAAGCGTGGAATTTCTTGTACAAGTCATTGTTAAATACGCATTTGTGTTTCGTTACGTTGCAGACTGACCGACTGTGTCTCGCTCCTTCTGAGTGCAGAGAGACACATGTACGGACCCTTTTTTGGTCACACTACGCACAGCAACCTACATTCGGTTTGTCGATTAAAATTAACGTAATCGATGAAATTCTTAATGATCAAATATCGATTCATCGACTAATCGTGCCCATCCCTACCGTGAACGCGCCAAACAAAGTCCGACTGACCCATCTAACTGTTGTGTTTCGTGTTTATTTGTGAAAAAAGTTCGAAAATAGACCATTCTACGACAATGCGCCTTATAGAGCGGAAAATACGGTATATGTATTGTATTGAACCGAAAGTGTACTGTATCAAGATTTGTATCGTATCGTGGCCTCTGTATCGAGGTATCGGCAACTTCTTAATGATACCCAGCCCTAGTCAGGTTTGTGGAGATGCAAGTCCGCGCACAGTAAAGACACATTTTTCTATATTTTAACTCTATTTTAAAACACACTGGGAGTTCATGTTCTTCCAATTATACTATGACCCAATTAAAGCATTATCAGTTAACGAAATATGAGTGGATGTCAAATTAACCTCCCCAAAACCCAAAAAAAAAAAAGAATATCAGCCTTGTTTCACGTTTGTTTCGATGATTACGTCTTTAAGCTTCTCTTCTCTGCACCTCAAAACAGACGTCTGCAGATTTATTTACCGTTTCATTATTAATATATCTAATTTAGTAATAAAATAAAATAAAATATAGTCTTGTAGTAAATCTTGCCTCCTGCCAGAGTGAAGAGAAGGGGGTAATTTGTGTTTGTGTTGAACGAACAGATCAGCGCAGATTGATAAAGCCTGCAGAATAATGTACACAAATGTGAAACCAATTACCACGGGCAGCCAGGCTTGACTCCAACGGGGGCTTTATGGGGCAATAGTGGTAAATAAACTGCTAATACGGGGCGCTTTTATGGCCTCTGTTGGGGGAGCGGTGAGAGAAAAGACAAGTAAACAACACAGAGGTGAACCCGAAGCACTGATTTGACTTTGTAACCTTCACGGACCAGTCAGTGTAGGAAAAAATAATACTCGGAACAAGAACGAAGCAATGAGGAGATGAAAAAGCAGTTTGTTCAGATTTTATACACAAAAAGGTGAACTGTGTAACTTTTCTGGGAAGGTCTGCCTATATTTTTGTCGCCATGACGATGTAATTGTTTTGCTCGGAATGTGTCACCATGTAAACACTTAATTCCGAAGTAAGTGGGTGGTTTGTTCCGATTTTAAAGACGAATTAGTTTATTCTTTCTTTTGTTCAGCGCCATTAGTTTCTCAAAATAAAACTAAAAATAAGACAACGAAAAACACAACCGTTTTCCTCATTATTTGTCTCCAAAACCAAAATGAAAAAAAAAAGGATAAAAGATTAGTTTTTTCAGTTTTCAATTTTGTGTTTAAATGAAAAATGGAAAAAAAACTGATAACAGAGGTTTCTCATTTTTGTGACTTAAACTTTGCTGGACTTTTGCGTCGCATACGGACTAAACCAGGACTAAAACAGGGACCAGACTGGGACCAGGACCAAGACCAGGACCGAGACCAGGACCGAGACCAGGACCAGGACCGAGACCGGGACCGCGACCGGGAATAGGACCAGTCTGGGACTGAGTCTGGGACTGAGTCTGGGACTGAGTCTGGGACTGAGTCTGGGACTGAGATCGGAACCAGACCAGGACCAAGACTGGGGCCACAACTCAGACCGGGGACTCAGACCGGGGACTCAGACCGGGGACTCAGACCGGGGACTCAGACCGGGACTCAGACCGGGGACTCAGACCGGGGACTCAGACCGGGGACTCAGACCGGGGACTCAGACCGGGGACTCAGACCGGGGACTCAGACCGGGGACTCAGACCGGGGACTCAGACCGGGGACTCAGACCGGGACTCAGACCGGGGACTCAGACCGGGGACTCAGACCGGGGACTCAGACTCAGACCGGGACTCAGACCGGGACTCAGACCGGGGACTCAGACCGGGGACTCAGACCGGGGACCGAAAACGTTTTAGTCCTGGTTCAGTCCAGCATCTCAGTTTAAGTCACGGAAACGGCCATTAGCCGTTTTTTTTCCCATTATTCATTTAAACACAAAATCGAAAACTGAAAAAAACAAATCATTATCAATTCCATTTTGGTTTTGGAGACAAATAATGACGAAAACTGTGATTTTATTGTTTTCTTATTTTTGGTTTTATATTGTAAAATGAATGAACGAATGACACACGGATTCACATGTTTTGTTATCCCAATAAAATGTCTTTAACACCAGATTAAATTCACTTCTTGTGTTAGTGTAGCAGTTCTTAGAGGTCCACGCTTTTGTCTTTCGCCTTAATCGCACGACTAATGTTACTTCACAAATGTACAGACGATAAAATCTCTGGCACGAAACTGCACTTCGAAGAGCTACAGGAAACCTCGAACGCCAACACTGAAACTGCTCTTTATCACTCACACGGCAACTCTAAAACAGCAGCAGACCCGGGAACACTTCAAAAACAAACGCGAGAAGAAACGAAAATACAAATGAGTCACTTTAGTTTCAGTATTCATACATATACGCCTATTTGAACTTCAACGTATTGATGCAGAGAAAATTAAATCCAATATTTATTAATTCAAAGAGGCCAGGGCTGGGCGTTTATTCTTCGTTCGTTTGGACTTTTAATGATAAAGATTTTGTAACACTGCTAAATTGTGAAATCAAGAATTATGATGAAACAAGTTTATGTCTGAATGTCTTATTGTGCAATTACAATTTACAAATCTACAAATTTAATTCAACGTTTACTGTCAAATCTTCAGACAAAGATCATATAAAGAATTGAAATTGGGTTTCTCGCTACCATGCATAAAAAAAATAAAATAATAATAATAATAAAAAAATTAAATAACATGATAAAAAATAAATTAAATAATATTTAAAAAATAAAAAATAATAAAAATGATAAAATTAATACATAAAATAACAATTAAAACTAAAAATATATGAAAAATAAAATAAATAATAATAAAAAAATAAAAAAATGAATAAAAATATTTTAAAAAATTAAAAGTAATAAAATGATAAAATAATAAATAAATACATAAAATAACAATTAAAAAAATAAAAAATAAAGTAATTAATAAAAAATAATACAAATAAAAAAAAAAAAAAATATTTTTTTATTTTTAAATGGGGGGGGTCTGAGTCCAAGTGTTTTTTGGAGATTGAAGATTGAAGGCGGTTTTATTTGGAAGGTGGTTTACAATTTCTTCTTAATAACAGCATATGATAAGAATGAAAAGGTACTGTCCAGTGTGTAGGAAAAAATTAAATAATCAAGATTTTAGATTTTTGAAGATTTCCCAGCCCTACAACAAGTCAACCTCTACCTCCTCGTGCTTCATGTTCAATAAAATAAATATATAAACAGGTTCACCATAAAATCGACATGACTAAATTCTCCCCTCTCCTCACAGACCGCACACACCCACACATCCTCAGACTCCACTAAACTTTAATCTCTCTCACTCACCTCTTCTCCACGATCTCCAGCGTGAGGTGCAGGAGCTCCCTCTTGCTCTTCTCTCTCCGTTTGATCATCTCCAAAATGGTGACCGCTCGGCTCAGGTCCCGCCGCAGCTTCAGCATCTTCTCATAAGACGCCTCGTCGTTCTTACGGTTCTGAAAAGCAACAAAGTTTGTGTTAAATAGCTTAGAGGTTTTTACTGGTAACCTCCACGTACGAAACCACATGTACCATTTTTATTTTTCACTTGCAAGAAATTCAGGCAACAGATAAATGTTTCCAGAACTGTAATCTCAAATATGACTGAGTTTTGGGGCCATGAATGACTCAGGATGTAATGATATCCAAATCTCTTGGTACGATATTTATTGAGATATTTTGGAGAAGTTAATATAATTGTAAATGGGACACTTTTTTTGCTTTTAAAATACCTTGACAAGATTTTGGTGTGAATTATTTCGATCATAATCCCAAGAATTCAAGTAAAAAACATTTCTTATGTAGTTTGCTATGTTTATAAGATGTTGCGTCTATAAAACCATGCATTTAAGCAAAGGAACTTGTAATTCGATATACTGTGACAGTGCCACGATATTATTTTAAGCCTTTTGAGGATACAATATCATGATAGTTTGAATGACAAACAAAATACAACTCCAGGCGTGTTTAGGGCTGAATAAAAATGCTTTTAAAACACAACAGATTATATATATATATATAGAGCATTTAAAATCCAATGTGTCATCAGAATGTTCAGATTTCTGGAGGAAAGTGGAGCCAAAGTGAAGCAGATGCAAGATATTTTCAATGGATAAACTAATGAGCAGATCTAAATGCTAATGGGTTTACAACATTATAACAAAAAATAAACCATTTAGAATCTCCAAGGTGCAAATATTAGTTACTTTGCTTCTCTGTTACATTTTTCTAACCTCAAAATTGTATCTGAGCTTCACAATTTATGTCTAATATATCTGTAGATGTTGTGATGAACTATAATGAACCCAACTTTGGTCAAAAATTCTTAGTGTTTATCATAATCTCTTCTTACTAATAACGTAAAACACTATTGTAAATGTTATTTAAACTGAACTTTAGTCTCACTCACATGTGTCTGAGTAGTTTTCACTTGCCAATTTTCTTTAGATTTCTTATCATTTGTGATATTCTGAAATTAATCCCAGTTTTCCCATTGAAATGACATTATTTTCCACTTCACTTTCACCTCCATTTGCTTCGATTCTGAAATTTAGAATGTTTTTATTTACTATTTTTTATAGGGTCTATAAGATCCATTTCTCTACAGGTAAAATTTGACAATAGAGAAGAAATTGTTGGAATTATTTGGAGACAAGCAGTAAGAAAGGATGTGCAATAAGACAAAAAACAAACAAGGTAGAAAAGTAAGACATCACTATTCATTGTAAATTCCATGCGATGCAATAAAATCTCCATGGAAAAAGTTTACCGTATTTTCTGCACTATAAAGGCGCTCTGGATTGTTATACACTGAACGGTCTATTTTCAAACTTTTTTCACATATAAACCGCACCGGACTACAAGGTGCATTAAACGAAACACATCAGTTAGATAAGTCAGTCAAACTTATTTAACGCGTTCACAATAACTCAACTTTGTTCAATTGTAACACGTAAAAAAACAAATATCTGAGACGCTAAATTGTTGGCGTATTCAGAATAACTCATAATTGTTCAAACAGTTGGGCGATTACAGCGTCCAGCCCGTCCGCATCCCTCTCGTCATTATCCGAGTCAGTGTGGTTACTGTTCCCTGGCAGTTCAGTGATGATTCCGGTCTTGGTGAAAGCTCGGACCACAGTTGATACTGATCCTTAGCCCGGGCGTCCACGATCCGTTGGCAGATCGTGGCGTAAGTCGCTTGGCGCGGTCTCCCTGTCTTGGTGAGCTCGCAGTTTAACTTTATAACAGCCTTGAGTTTAAAGTCGGCGTTGTGAGCGTGTCTCTTGACAGGTGCATTTTGATATTAAAAGAAATCACAGTATGTATTATTCCGCGATGCTCCTGACGATGGAAGCCATAATCCTGCAAGTGGTGCGGCTTTGTAGTTTACTAAAGTCGTACTAAGACACCCCAATAAATTAATATATATGGCGCTCTGGATTATAAGGCGCGCAGTTGTTTTTTTTATTTTAAGTGCGCCCTATAGTGCAGAAAATACGGTACACAGTGCAGCTTTAAAGAGCAAAAACAGTGTTGATCCGTACCTTCCGGGTCTGCATCTTCTCCGTCCGGCGTCTGAAGGCCACGTAGGGATCGCTGGTGCTGGAGCTGTCCCGCTTCTCCTGTTTCACGGCCGGGATCAGCGTTCCACTTTTACTGTTTTTCCTTTTGTGGCTCCAGTATTCAAACACCTCCTTTATCAGCTCGTCGTCCTCCTTCAGCAGCAGCTTGGCCTCCTGCAGACTCACCAGCTGCAAACAGAACGGCATATGTGAGGATTCAGCAAATACAGAGGACGGGATACACACAGAGATCCAATACAGCGAGGAAAAGAAGAGGATTTATACAGTAGTGTTTTCTAAAAGGCCCAAACTGACACTTTAAGGTCCTATATTACACAAAGTTATTTATTATTAGTCTGTCTACGTCTCCAAAACTCAAAATACTCTGTTCGACCTTGTGATGTTTTCTGTTCTGAGAGAAGAAGTAAATATATGCAGAGTTTGTGTTAAACATGTGTGAATGAAACAAAACACAGCCCCAGGTTTGTTTCACACTGCACAAGGAGGAAGTCTGTATTTAAATCTGTCATTCAAGCTTTCAGAAACCCTTTAACAGTCTCCCCAGACGCTGAAATGAAACTGGTAGTAGCAGTAGTAGTTGTTGTTTTAGTAATAGTTGTAGTGGTTGCAGTAGCAGCAGTAGCAGCAGTAGTAGTGGTTGTAGTAGTAATAGTGGTTGTAATTGCAGTAGTAGTGGTTGTAGTAGAAGTGGTTGTAGTAGTAGTAGTTGTTGTAGTAGTATTGGTAGTTGTAGTATTAGTGGAGGATGTGGCTGTAGTACTGGCTATAGTAGTGGTTGCAGTAGCAGTAGCAGTGGTTGTAGTAGTGGTTGTTGTTGTAGTAATAGTAGCAGTAGTAGTAGTATAGGTGGTTGTTGTAGTAGCACTAACAGTAGTAGTAGTAGCAGCAGTAGTAGTATAGTGGTTGTTGTAGTAGCACTAACAGTAGTAGTAGTAGCAGCAGTAGTGGCAGTGGCGGTAGTTGTTGTAGTAGTAGTAAGTAGTAGTAGTAGTAGTAGTAGTGGCAGTGGTTGTAGTAGTAGTAGTAGTAGTAGTAGTGGCGGTTGTAGTAGTAGTAGTAGTAGTAGTAGTAGTGGTGGTTGTAGTAGTAGTAGTCGTAGTAGTAGTAGTGGTGTTGTAGTAGTAGTAGTAGTAGTAGTAGTAGTAGTGGCAGTGGTTGTAGTAGTAGTAGTAGTAGTAGTAGTAGTAGTAGTAGTAGTAGTAGTAGTAGTGTAGTCGGTTGTAGTAGTAGTAGTAGTAGTAGTAGTAGTAGTAGTAGTTAGTGGCGGTTGTAGTAGTAGTAGTAGTAGTAGTAGTAGTAGTAGTAGTAGTAGTAGTAGTAGTAGTAGTAGTAGTAGTAGTAGTAGTAGTAGTAGTAGTAGTGGCAGTGGTTGTAGTAGTAGTAGTAGTAGTAGTAGTAGTAGTAGTAGTAGTTAGTAGTAGTACGGTTGTAGTTGTAGTAGTAGTAGTAGTAGTAGTTAGTGGCGGTTGTAGTAGTAGTAGTAGTAGTAGTAGTTAGTGGCGGTTGTAGTAGTAGTAGTAGTAGTAGTAGTAGTAGTAGTAGTAGTAGTAGTGTAGCGGTTTAGTAGTAGTAGTAGTAGTAGGCGTTTGTAGTAGTAGTAGTAGCGGTTGTAGTAGTAGTAGTAGCGGTTGTAGTAGTAGTAGTAGTAGTAGTAGTAGTAGTAGTAGTAGTAGTGGCGGTTGTAGTAGTAGTAGTAGTAGTAGTAGTAGTAGTAGTAGTAGTGGCGGTTGTAGTAGTAGTAGTAGTTGTAGTAGTAGTAGTAGTAGTTGTAGTGGAGGTGGATGTAGTAGTAGTAGTAGTAGTAGCGGTGGTTGTAGTAGTAGTAGTAGTAGTAGTAGTAGTAGCGGTGGTTGTAGTAGTGGTGGCTGTAGAAGTAATAATATAGGCAGTAGTAGTTGTAGCAGCAGGTCGTTCGTTTTGTAGTATTCGTCGAATACATGGTGGTTCTTAATCACACACTTTACACTTCAAACCGCAAATAATCTGTGAGTAAAACAGAAAAAAACACCCTTGTGATGACAGAAAGTGTCATTCTTCCTCTAGTCAGTGACAGAAAATAAAAAACAAACAAATATAAAGCCGTTTTTAATCCCATGTTGCTTCTTTACGCTGTAACTTCTACGCAAATGGATATAAAAGTATTCCAAGTACTATTCCAATCACTTTTTTATTCAGTATTCTGTATTCTTCCCTTCACTGGTAGTATTAGTTTTATTTCTTATAACTCGAGTTGTTGTTGTTTTTTGGTACCTGCTGCCCGCTGCCCTTCTCCAGGCGGTCGATCATCTCCTCGAACTGCAGCTCTGTGATCTCCATCTTCTTCTTCAGCTTCTTCACAAACAGGTCGTCATCAGAGTCCAGGTCATAGTCCGGCTGCTCCGTGTCCAGACTGAAAGCTGCAAAAAAAACAACACGACAAAAAAACTTATTATCACAAAACTTTCAACTCAAAGCTAAATAGAAGGTTCATAAAGAAGACTATAGTCCAGATTCGAATTACTTTAAATGTCGAGTTCTTCTCTCAAATTAAACTTTTCTACGCTCTGCAAATTCATAACTGGTCACATTTTCGTTGCGTTTTCTTCAATTTTAAGCAGCTTTTCTGTATTTTGCCTAAACAAATTTACAGTTTATGCCTCTCTTTACTGTGGACAGGGATCAAATTGGTCAAAAATAGGGACATTTTTTGTACAAAACTCTGACAAATCACTGATCGTTCCACCTTGTGACGTCACGTGGTCATACGGGAAGTGTTTTAAACTCCGTACACATTAACTCTTTCCCCCATGAAGACGACATTTGATGACCCCCCTGAACCCTTAATGACGACTTTTGACACCTCCGCCGTATCACTAAAGACGAGATTTGACGACCTTTAGAAACTGCTCGGTTTTTCACATTTAAACAGAGACTGTGATCGGTGGGGGCCACTACAACCCACACTAGACTGACCAATAGGATTCAAGGATATGTTTTCGCCGATTTTTTCCGAAGTTAATCGAAATAGTGACGATGGTAGCTTCCGGAAAAAACACAACACGAAACACGTGCAATGGAAAGATCGCGGCGCTGCGGCGCACAGTTTTAGAAATAATGAGGAGCGGACGTATTTTATGGATAAGTTTAGAGAAAGTGACTTTTATAGATTTCAAAGTGATGATGTTGAAGTTGATTATAAAATGGAAAACAGCGACAGCGACGGACTTTCGGGGAGAAGGTGAGAATGCCGCTGATGCGTCTGTGTGGAGTCCTGCGATGTCCCAACAAACTATCTGAGCTTTATACTCGATTATGAACCAAAATTGCCCTGAAATCTGGATGTTGCCCAGGCCAGTCCTTTAAAATATTTCAGTCTTTTTTTCCAAGATGCGATGTATAACAGAATCGCTACAGAAAAAACGCTTATGCGGAGCTCTGCACACGAGAAAATAGCCAAGATGACAAATACTGGACACACACTGACGGGGAAGAGTTTTATTATTATATTATAATAAGCTAAATGAGTTAAATAAATAAAATAAGTTGAATAAGCTTAATGAGTTGAATAAGTTAAATGGAAAAAAATTTACTGGGTGCACACAGGTGTACAACAGGTAAAAACAGGTGTACACTTGGCTATACTGTACCTGGTGATATGAAATCTGTTTAAATACTTTGACAAAGTATATTTTTTATTTTTTTATGAATATAGTTCTCAGAACATGCAGATATCAGATGCTGAATGTAGTTTTTTGTTTTCGAGTTTGCACCTGACCAGGTAAACTCTCATTTTCAGTGAGCTGTTATACACCTATAAATGAGTTGAATCACATTTAAACATCCATAAATGAATAGTTCAGAGTCTAAGGTTTCCAGAGATACAAATATGTCTGTGTTACAATTAAGTTCATGAGTGTAAAAATCATTTATAATCACTCGTGGAAGTCTGTTTTCTTTTATGCAATTATGCTCTATGGGTGTAGCCCTAGTAACATATGTATGGGTTGTTCCTAGTCGGCGTCCAGGGGGAAAAGAGTTAACTAGAATCATTTTTGGATAATTTCAGATGTGGAATTAGATAATCTCTATGAAACTAAAGGTAAAAAAAAAATAGCTGTTTGCATGAAAACATCCACTTCATGACATCACAAGGTTGAGCAGAGCATTGTGAGCTTTAGAAATACTCAAAATAACATGTGCAAATGAAACAAAACACAATTCCAGGTCTGTTTTTGAGGTGGTAACTAAATTCTAACATGAAGAAAAGCTCAAAAATGAATTTATTTTGAGTAATATAGGACCTTTAAGTGACATTTACACAGCCGAACATGTGACTGGAAATTTTCTGACAAACACGGCAATTATATTTAAAAGCCTTGTACCGGATTTGTCCTGCCCCAGAACAGATTTATTGTTTTTGCCAAAGGTTCAACTTTAAAAAGGTGCATTGTGTAACTTTTCTGGTTACAGGGTTCGTCAAATGCTTTTCTCCATGGAGATGTTATTGCCTGTTATTGTCTGGAATGCTTCACAATTATGGTATTAAATCTTTTTATCTTCATGGAAACCAAATCAGACCAAGTTACAGGTCAGGGACGTGCAAAAATATTGAAATATTAATATATCGTATCGTTTAATGTGGTGATACAGTATCGATATCCTGGACTGCTGTATCGATTTATCACCAAGAGTATTTTTTGGTATATTTTACTGAATTATTTTGTTACAGCGCTACAGTTTTGTTGTTTGTCACATGTGTCACATAAACGAATTTCCTTCCTCTAAACATTTTCACAGTTTTGACGATTAAAATGTTGATGAACTTTACACAAGAAGAGGTTAAACTCGGGCTGTTGCAATAACCGCAAAAATGAATCACCGCGGTACTAAGAGGTCCACCACGATCACTGTATGTGACCAACGTGACCCGACTCAGAATCCTGCTCTAACCCAGGACTAACCCAGGACTAACCCAGGACTAACCCAGGACTAACCCAGGACTAACGTGCGCCCGCGAAGACAGTCTGGTGACTGCAGGCGAAAGGACCGCCACAGAGCTTTATGCGCACAGAGTTAAGTGCAGCCGTCGCCTGATCACGCTTTGCGGACACCTCCTCCACGTGCTCAGGGTTCTCTCTCTCTCTCTTTTAAGTCCGCAGGTACCCGACCTGGAGCAGGACTCTGACCCGAGCTGCCACAGTGAGAGTTGAAGAGATGCAGCAGCACTTGTTCCAAAGCCAAATGTTACTTCTCCCACAATTCGTGTGACAACCAAGGTACAGGTGCATCTGAGCAACAAGTGCATCATCGGAGAGAGTTTTCAGAGTCGCTGGAAATATCATAACTCCAGAGGATGTGCGATATCTCCACATACCGCGCTGTTGAGCTGCTATACCGCACCGCAGGAGAAATTCCCTAACCCAACAACCCTAATCGAAAATATCGTATCGTTTAATGTGATGATACAGTATCGTGGGCTGCTGTATCAATATATTAACAGGAGTATTTTTAGGTATATTTTACTAAATTATTTTGTTACAGCGCTACAGTTTTGTTGCTTGTTTAGAGGAAGGAAACTTGTTTATACGACGCATTTTACATTTTCACTGTTTTGATGATTAAAATGTTTGTGTTTCATATGAACTTTGCACAAGACGTGGTTTAACAAAGACTTTTAGTATCACAGCCAAGATTTTTTATTGAACCGTATCGAATCGATTTGAAATATATCGTATCGTGGCCTATGTCTCGAGGTATGCATCGTGGCATATGTATTGAGATATGCATCGTATCGTGACATGTATCGAGGTATGCATCGTATTCATTTTTCTAGGTATTTTTGAGCTTTAAAACCTCCTGTAAACTGAATTAATGTAAAGGTAGAGCTGTTTAAAGTCGTACTGTGGAACATTCCAGGCAGAGCAATTACATATCCATAAAAACAAGCAGGTGACGGACATCCGACGAAAAAGTTACACATTGCACCTTTAAATAAACATTTCTCGGCAAACCCAGGCAACCAAAATTATACACATTTTGTTTTTCATTGACTGTTTTGAAGGCCAACCACCCCTCCAGGCTCTCTGAAAGAATACAGCTTTTCAGAATAATATTTTCTAAGTCTAAGTAAAAATCACAGTTTGGAGACATTTATTCTCTTCAGTTCTGCTCAAAAAGTCGATAAATAAAAACGGCGAGGTCTGTTTTGAAAAATGCCTTCTCTCTCGAGGTCCACTGCCCCAAGTTTAAGGCGAAAACACACTTTATTTCATCTGGACTCGGAGAATTCAATAACAAAGACAAACAGACTTATCCAGCCGTTTGTGAAGCGAATTGGCCCGTGGTTTGGTTTCACAGCATCAATAGTTACTAAGAAGAGAGGTTCTGAAAATCAAATAAAAGCCCGGCCAACACAAGAGGTATGAATTAGAGAAACGGCAATTAACAGAAAAAGTGGCCGCCTCGACTCACAATAGCAGCATTTCTAACTCAAGTGCACGGACTGTTTATATAAATGGACATAGATCACGCACCCATCGCCGTTACGCTCCAGATCGGAATGGACCGCAAGGGTAGAGTCCTGCTCCAAGTCGGGTATCAGCAAATAGTTGCTGAAACGGACGGGTAGTGATTACACACGGGCGGGTCAGGTGAATCAAATGAACGACGAACGGGAGAAAAATACTTGACGCGCATCCAGGTCGTCTGTTGCCCTGGAAACAATTGACGTTCCCAGTCTTTTCCTGAAACGATGGACCAGGCTAATAGAGACTTTAGTGTTTTTATTATGTAAAACCATCAGCGAAGGTGATGGAAGCGCTCCCGTCTTAGCCCCGTCTTAGCCCCGTCTTAGCCCCGTCTTAGCCCCGTCTTAGCCCCGTCTTAGCCCCGTCTTAGCCCCGTCTTAGCCCAGTCTTAGCCCAGTCTTAGCCCAGTCTTAGCCCAGTCTTAGCCCAGTCTTAGCCCAGTCTTAGCCCAGTCTTAGCCCAGTCTTAGCCCAGTCTTAGCCCAGTCTTAGCCCCGTCCTAGCCCCGTCCTAGCCCCGTCCTAGCCCCGTCCTAGCCCCGTCCTAGCCCCGTCCTAGCCCCGTCCTAGCCCCGTCCTAGCCCCAATGTAATGGCAATCAGCTCGGCAGTTGCGGCGTGTATGTATTTGTGCAAATGACACTGGTTTAGACCTGCTGATCGGCTCTGTATATATTTATAATCCACTAATGACACAGCATAAATCCAGTCCTGGTTCAGTCCTGGTCCAGGCGATCGGCTTGGCGGTTGCAGCGTGTATATATTTGTGCTAATGACACTGGTTTAGACCTGGTCCAGTCTTGGTGTAGTCCTGACGATCGGCTCTGCGTGAATATATTTATGATAATGACACTGGCTCAGTCCTGGCCTAATGGGTTGTCGGACTAATGGGCTGACCCCGACTTATCACGGGCATTAACGGGTAATGGATTCTGATTTTACCTTTGTTTACCAAGACTGCACACTGTTCTGGTGGAGGTTTTATCACCTGCTTGTCTCGCTGGTATATTCCACACTATGGCATTAAACATGTGTATAACCATGGTGACTCAAACTCAAACTGGCCAAAACAAAAGTCAGATTTGTGTAGAGGCGACTAACTCAGTGTAAAAATGTTTTTCAGGGTATTTTGAGTCATAAAAATCACCAGTAATTAAATTCTTAAGTGTAATTTCAAAGAACGGTGAAGAAATACAACTTTAAATCTGGACTTTTCCATCAACTCACCTGTTTTTTAATGCATTTTTTTTGTTATGTTTTGGTTTATTCATCAAAAAACACTCTTCAAACTCATGTCTAATAAAACATAATAATTTCATCTCATCCCGTTGCTGTACATTTTTCCCGGAGCTCGTTTTAACTGCAGCTCCTCCTCTTGGACAAACGCTTCTAAAAACGTGGTCAGGGATAAAAAGGGACTTGTCTAATCTGGGGTTGAGCCGCGTCTGGCCTCAGCAAACACACTGGGGCTGTAATTGGGACTTTGAGTCAGTTCAGTTAATGCCATTCAACAGAGAGGAGCTCATTACACACGGAGGAGCCAACAAAGAAAGTTTGGACAATTTAACTAAAAAGATTCACTTCAGACAAAACACTGGTCATTGTGGAAAGCTTTGTTAGACATTTCAAAAAAAAAAAAAGAAAAAAGAAAAAACAGGGCCGTTCTCTGGAGAAATGTTGTAAAAATCAAGGTGTGCCAGCAGTGTTTAGTCGAGACTAGTCCCTATTTTAGGAGCTTTTTTCGGGTCACGCCAGTTTTAGTCGTGTCCAGTAAATATCCAGTGAGTGAAAAAGTCAAGTGCTGTCAAATTTTCCTCACAATGCACATTTTGGCACCTTAAAATGTCATTACAGACCACAATGCATTGAGAGAGATGGAAAAACAGTATAAAATAAAATCGACAAATTACATGCGAAATATATTTTAAAGTCGTCAAATGTGTCAATTACAATAAGTCACGAAGGACATACAAGCAAAGAATCGCCAGCGCCACTTAGTAACTTCAGCCTGCGACTATTGTAAACTCAAGCGCTGCTCTGATATCCTTGGGGAAAGTTGTAAAAACCTTTAAGAGTCATAAATATTTTCATAGTTCATGTGACGGTCACATGTGAAACTGGGCTTAAAAAGGTCCATTGTGTTTCTTTTCTCTGTGGAGGGTCCAACAAATTCTTTTCTTCATGGAGATTTTATTGCTTTGTTTGAAATGTTTCACAGGGTGGGATTAAACCTTTCCATCTTCATCAAGACCAAACCAGAGCAAGTTACAGGTCAGATCTGTGGAGAGGTGATGCCGCGCAGTGAAAATTCCTGTTTTTCTAGGTATTTTTGAGCAATAAGATCATGTGTAAATTAATAAATGTACGGTAGTTTCAGATTTGTGCAGCTAAAATCTGGAACAGTCTTCCTAAAGATGTCAGACACGCCTCAAAACTGTTCTGTTTAGCTGCATATGACTGAAAAGTTTTCATTCTGCACTATGGGTGTGCAAAAATACTGAATCAATTCAATATATCGTATCGTCTAATGTGATGATACATTAACGACATCGTGGGCTGCTGTATCGCTATATTGCCAAGAGTATTTTTTGGTGTATTTTACTAAAATTATTTTGTTACACAGCTACAGTTTTGTTGCTTGTTTAGAGGAAGAAAACTCATTTATGCAACATATTTGACATTTTCACTGGTCTGATGATTAAAACGCGCTTGTTTCTTATTAACTTTGCACAAGACGTGGTTTAATAACAAAGACTTTTAGTGTCACAACCATGAATTTTTTTTTTTTTTTTTATGAACCGATTTGAAATATATTGTATGAAATCAAAAGCTCACTGCATCGAGATTCGTATCATATCGTATCGTGGCCTATGTATCAAGGTATGCATCGTATCGGCAACTTGTTAATGATAGTATAGTATCTCTGGATGATATGCAACAGAAAACTAAAATCGAAAACCTCATCTGATATCTGTTCTGAACTTATCATCTTTCAAAGTAAAACTTTCAATCACCAGTTAAGTATAGCCAAGTGTCCTTTTTTACCTGTTGTACTGTGTGCAAATTAATTTTTTTCCATTTAACTATTCAACTCATTAGCGTATACAACTTTTTATTCAACTCATTTAGCTTATTCAAGACTGTCAAATTTGTCATCTTGGCTAAGAGCTCCGCAAAGCGTTTTTTCTGTAATTCTGATACATCGATCTTGAAAAAAAGACTGAAATATTTTAAAGGCTTGAACAACATGAATTTTGGTTCATGAGTCTCAGATAGTCTCTTCAGCGGCATCTCCCTGAAAGTATCTGTTTTCTTTATAATCTGAAATCATAAAAGTCACTGCAACTAAAATACAACTACCATGTCAACTTCGGAAAAAATCATCCTCCCTGATTTGCTTTTTTCTTCTTGAGTCTGCACTGATTGCTGCATTTTTAACTGTTGCTGCACCATAACTCTTAATTTAAGCAAAGAAACTTGTAATTCGATATATTGTGATGGTCCACGATATTATTGTGAGAACTTTGACGATCCGATATCACGATATTGAGGTTATTGTTACATCCCTAGTCACATCCCCATCTTTTACTAAACTGTTTTGTTACCGAGCTACAGTTTTGTTACTTGTTTAGAGGAAGGAAACTCATTTATGCAACATATTTGACATTTTTACTGCTTTGATGATTAAAATGTTTGTGTTTCATATTAACTTTGCACAAGAAGTATCACTTTTAGTATCACAGCCATGATATTTTTTTGTGAACAGTCCAGAATCGATTTGAAATATATTGTATCGAATCGAATCGAAAGCTCACTGTATCGAGATGTGCTGTATCGTGGCCTATGTATAGTATTGTCAACTTGTTAATGATACCCAGTAGGAATGTAACGATATCCAAATCTCACGGTACGATATTTATTGCGATATTTTATGATACTTTTTCCTCTTAAAATGCCTTGACAAGACTTAATCCAAAGAACTAAGACTAAAAAGTGCTTAGACCTGTTATTTCTTCTTGTAGTCTGCACTGAAACGGAGCAAAGGATCATGGTCGATGTAGTTCCCTCAAATTTTTTAGCCATTGCTGCACCATAACTCTTAATTTAAGCAAAGAAATTTATGATGATGGTCCACGATATTATTCAGAGACTTTTGACGATACAATATCACGATATTTTGGCTACTGTTATAAACCTTTCAATCTTCATGATGACCAAACCAGAGCAAGATACGGGTCAGATCTGTGGAGAGGCGATCCCGCTCACAGTCAGAATGTGTGGTTTTCTAAGTATTTTTGGAGCTATAAAAGTGTTTCTAACTTAATAAATGTAAGACAGAGCTGTTTAATGTCACACTGTGGAACATTCCAGGCCGAGCAATGACATCTCCATATAAAGTAATTTACTAAGCAATAATCTTTCTGGTCCCTACAGCTCCTCCAAAATCCCCCCCGTCGTAGTTCAGCGACTCATGACTCACGCTGTATGTGTATGAGCTGCTTTGGCATCTTGAACTCCCCGGGGTACAGGGACTCGTAGTGGGGGATGTTGCACTCGGCCTCTGGGACCGGGATCACCATGTTGTCCCTCTTCTCTCCCCAGACCTGCTGCGCCGAGATCGCCCTCTGCAGGTGGTGCTCCTACGGGCAGAGAAGAGAAGGGCAGGGCGGTTAGAATAAACTGGGTCAGGGGAAAACAAACATTAAGAAGCAATATTCTTCACCAGTAAGGGAACGCGTGGCTCTAGGGTTGTCAAAAGTATCAAAAATCAGATACCAAACGATAACAGAACTTGCATCGAAACTAGAACTCGTTTGAACAAGTATCAAAACTCAGAAAGTCACATTCACAGGACAAAAACAAACCTTTCCTGAACAGCTTTAGAATGATTTTGAGCTGAATCAGAACAAGTATAAATAAAACCACAGAGACCACATAATTTACACTCATTAGGGGTGTGGAAAAATATTGAAATATTGATTTATCATTAGGGCTGGGCATCATTCAGAAGTCGCCGATACAATACAAACCTCAATACTAGGGATGGGCATGATTAATCGATGAATCGATAATTGATCATTAAGAATTTCATCGATTACGTTAATTTTAAATCGACAAACCGAATGTAGGTTGCTGTGCGTAGCGTGACCAAACAGGGGTCTGGACATGTGTCTCTCTGCACTCAGAAGGAGCGAGACACAAACAGTCGGTCAGTCTGCAACGTAACGAAACGCAAATGCGTATTTAACAATGACTTGAACAAGAAATTCCACGCTTTCTGTTGCGTTCGGGACAAGTGTGAGTCCATGTGCACAGTGAACAAAGCAGCACATATGTTTCGGTGTCCAGTGGGAAAAAGTTTTACCAGGTGAGAGTCGCTCAATGTCGATGACGAGTCCCCACCTCCCTCCCCCCGTACGGTGTCCTGGTTTTGACAAACGCAAATATGGTCACACTAACCTGTATTCCACTGAGTCATGTCTTTTAATCCGACAGAAATTGAACCGCATCAGCGACACAAGAGCTGTAGTTTTATCTTCGCTTAGTTTATGCAAATTAGCAATGCAGTTTTAAGTTTCGTTTCTGTGAGAGTTGTGCAAAACTGAATTAAACACATTATAATGTCAAACGGGCTGATGTGGCTCTAGAGTCGTTACGGTTTATGTGTCGTAAAGTTGAATTTATTTATGCAGATTAGTAGTGCAGATAGTAATAATGATCATTTTAATATAAAAACGTTCATGATTAATCGATAATCGATCGTTAATTCTTCCGACGATTAAGAAAATTTCATTGAATGCCCATCCCTACTCGATACGATATCAGAGTATCCCCAGGTTTGACTACCCCAAAGTTAAGACTTTTTAAAGACTTTTTTAAGACCACTTAAATGAAAATTAAGACCAACATCGCACCCATTATGCGGATGGAAAAACACCAGATCCAATTCTAATAATGACCATTACTCACTGCTTTAAATAACAAAAAATACTTCTATTATAAAATCTCATTCAGAACTCATTTATATTAGGATGCATTGATTATAAAATAGCCCAAAAAAATCATTTTTAACACTAACAAGACAAACAACGTATTATTTGCACATACTCCAAAATTAGACGTTCATTCACGTTACATGATTTCACTTTTCTTCTTTTTTTTTTTTTCTCCATTTTAGTTGAGTAAACAAAAAAAATAGGCTAATGAAATTTAAGACCTTTGTCAAAAAAATAAAGACTTGGACAACATAATTTAAGACTTTTTAAGGTCTTAATTTAGGAACATGAAATTTAAGACCTTTTTAAGACTTAAGACCTCGCAGCTGCCCTGGATATATTTCAAATCGATTCAATACTGTTCAATAAAAAGTAAAGGTTAAATCATGGCTGTGATTCTAAAAGTCTCTGTTAAACCACTTTTTGTGCAAAGTTCCTATGAAACACAAACATTTTAATCATCAGAACAGTGAAAATGTCAAATGTGTCACATAACGAGTTTCCTTCCACTGCACAAGCAACAAAACTGAAGCTGTAACAAAATAATTTAGTAAAATATACCAAAAAATACTCTTGGTGATATGTCGATACAGCAGCCCACGATAGATAATGTATTTTTTTTGGTATATTTTATTAAATTTTGTTACAGTGCTTCAGTTTTGTTGCTTGTTCAAAGGAATGAAACTTATTTATGCGACACATTTGACATTTTCACTGTTTGATGATTAAAATTTGTGTGTTGTAGAAGTGGTTTAACAAAGACTTTTAGTATCACAACCATGATTTGGCCTTCATTTTTTATTAAATTATATCAAATTGATTTGAAATATATCAAATTGAAATCAAAACTGTATAAAGATGTGTATCGTATCGTGGCCTATGTATCGAGAAATGTGCAACTTTTTAATAAATACCCAGCCCCAATGCCCCTGGACCAAAACTACGGCTCTCAATATAATTTTTATCATGCTACGAAACATGTAACAATCAAAAAGCAGGCACAAAGACTTTTTAATAACAGGAGGTTGGCTGATTTTTTTTTATTTTCTGGCTCTCAGTGACTAATCTCCAGCGTGGGTCAGCGTGTTGTTTGACATTTGGCTGTATTTGATGTCATTACACTGACCCTGTTTATTTTTTCGTGCCGTCGTTCTAGGAAAACCAACGACCGAAAAAATTGGCGCTTTCATAAGGGCTCTCGAACGCCATTTTAATATGAAGGAAAAGGCTCGAGACGCGAAAGAAATGTACCACAGCGAGGAAAAACACGCACAATAATAGCTGATTGACGTCATCGTGAAGGCTTTTTTTTTCAGAAACTGGTACTGATAAAAAAAATGTGTTGGATTTTCTTCTTTGTTGTGCAGTAGGCGGGAAGCATAATAACCCAAAACAAGTGCATTATCAAAAGGTCAGGAGAAAATCTATGCATCCTAAACATGTTTCTTTGTAAACCGTACGCAGCCATCAGGAGACTATTCCACGGTAAAAGTAAAACAAAAGCACCACAGAAATGTTAAAGGGCAAATATTACGCTATTTTATGATCCATGTTATAATGTTTTCTCGTCAAAAACAGACCCGGAGTTGTGTTTTGTTTCATTCACACACAATAAAACGCACAAACACGGAATATTTAGGCTCAGTTCTTTGCTCCACTGTGTTTTTAAACTCCATACGCCTTCACTAGAATCATATGGATCATTTCAGCGCTGGAAATTGCCAATCTCTACTGAACGAAAAGTAAAAAAAGAGCTTGAAAACTAGAGCTTCATGACATCACAAGGTGGAACAGAGGATTTTGAGCTGAGATACAGACACTAATATTAAAAGGTTACTCAAACACGTGTGAGTAGTAGTAGTAATTAAAGTAGTAGTAGTAATAAAAAGTAGTAGCAATAATAAAAGTAGTAGTAGTAGTAGTAGTAGTAATAAAAGTAGTAGCAGTAGCAATAATAAAAGTAGTAGTAGTAGTAATAAAAGCATAAGTAGAAGTAACAAAAGTAGTAATAAGAGTAGTAGTAGTAACAAAATAGTAATAAAATTAGTAGTAATAAAAGTAGTTGTTTTTCATAATAATAAAGTAGTAATAGTAGTAACAGTAGTAGTAATAAAAAGTAGTAATAGTAGTAGTAATAAAAAGTAGTAGCAGTAGTAGAAATAAAAGTAGTAGTAGTTTTTATAATAAATAAAGTAGTAATAGTAGTAGTAGTATAATAGTAGTTGTAATAAAAGTAGTTGTAGTGGTAGTAGCAGTAATAAAAGTTGTAGTAGTAGCAATAAAAGTAGTAGTAGAAATAAAAAGTAGTAGTAGTAATAAAAGTAGTAATAGAAGCAGTAATAAAAGAAGTAAAAGTAGTAGTAGTAGCAGTAGTAATATAAGAAGTAGTAGTAATAAAAGTAGTAGTAGTAGTTTATTTTCTTCAGTCATGTACTTAATCGTGTACTTAATAAACCGTTAAACAATTCACAAAAGTATGACCGAAACAGTTTAGGCTGAAAATCACTTGTGAATGTCTAACCCCGTTTACAAATGACGACAACATTCTACCACGACTTAAAGCTCACAAGAGTCAATTTTGAGTAAGATAGGACACCTTAAATAAAAATTAACGCATTTAACTTTTTTTTTTTCCTTAGCAGTCATTTTTATTCGGTCATTTTGCAGCACTACAAAACAAAAACAAAAAACATAACAGACTACAACCCCATGGATCATGACCGAAAAGGTTTAGGCTCAAGTAAAAAGTACTTATAAAGCCAAAAACTATTAAACAATGACAAAATTCCAAGAAAAAAAAAGCAACATACGAACATCAAGTTTACATTTACAATTTCACTTACGACTAACAGTATATATAAGGGACAAAATAAACTAAAAACAAAATTTTATGCATAATTCTTTAATTCCAGAGCACTATAGCTTTCAAAATTTAACGTTTTATACTCTTTTTTTTTTTTATGGTCGTACAAACTAATAATGTTAACGAAGGCACAAAAGTTTATCGCTTATGATCGTACAAAATGTCGAACTGTAGAATGGAAAATAAAACTAAAATTATCTCCCACAGTTAGAGAACCACAAAGGAACTGCATTTGCAATAATAACGCAAGTCTAAGCAAATACGAAAATCTTCAAATGCACCAGTTTTGACGTTGCATAAGCCAGTGCTGTCAGCTCTTAAGCGGTTTCCCAGCTGTCAGAGTCGCTCCAAAATATTACCATTGTGTTTGTTATATAACCCCATTGTGTGTGTGAAGCATCAGCACAGACCTGGTTTACACGCGCGCTGGGAAATCTCATATTTTACCCTGCCTCCCCCACAGTCTTAGAGAGCGTCCCATTATACGTGGTTGATGCAATAGAGGGACAATATTGTTGCTAGGAAATACTTTAACTATTCGCTTTACTTCATTTAAAGTTGCACTGTGGAACATTTCTAGTAGAGCCCGACCCATATGGATTTTTTTTGCAGCCGATATGATACTGAATAAAATAGGAATTGGATAGCTGATGTATTTAGTGATAAAAAATTCACTATAAATCTTCAATTGATTATAAAACTTAGGTCTGGCTCTACTGGATTGTAAATTTGGTTTGTTTAGGCGACATTTATTGTTATTCTGCCTCTTTACAGTCATATT